CGACTCATGTTATCTGCGTTTTCTCTGTTTGTTACAGTCACATTCTGCACTATTGGGGCAAATATTTCCTGCATAGTTTGTGCTAATACCCCTATCATATTATGGTTACTGTCATCCATCAATTGCCTAAAAGCCAACTGGTTTTCTGTGGTTAAAATGGGCATTGCGCTATAACCCACTGACCCTTGGTTATTTGTCATAAACTGATTTGCCCCAGACCCAGACCCTAATTGTGGTGATGAATTCGATGTGGAATTGTGTAAACCTGCCATAAAAGATGTTGGCATTCCATAAGAGGAATTTCTGGTTCTATTACCATCGAAACCGGGTGGTCTAGTTAGTGGGGTGGCGAAATGGGGTTGTGTCCCTGATGGTGGAACGAATCCCCCAGGATAACCCATGGTTCCAGTATTTCCTAGGATCGAACTATTAGTTGATATGCCACTTATTCCATTAGTGGCTATATTACTGGTAGAGGATGCAACAGACTGTGCATTCGAAGGGATCACATTAGATGTTCCCATCGAAGCGGACATATTAGTGCCTGTTGTATGTGGGGCATTTTGTTCCCCTTGTTGATTGTCAGAATTAGACATCTTGTTCAAACGTTTTCTTCTGGATAAGGGTTGGTTGCTGTTGGTTATTTTACCACTTCTTAGGTTCATAAAACAACAAACTTATCACTCAGAGGGTATTTTTACAATGGTTAAGTCTCACCAATTTCTATTTTGTTCTAAATTCCGTAATAGCCAACGATTGGTCCCACTAGGTGTGCCAATTTGTTTACAGTGATTTCTGGTAAACAACCGCTAGTCCTCCAAACTATCGAATAATCTTACTGACTGTTATTCAATCTCTCTGGTAACTCGCAGGATCGACTAGATTGATCCTAGGACGTGTTGGTCATTAGGGTAACTCTCATGATAGAACTGGTATTCATGGTTGGTATTTGGAATATTGTGTAGGTGCTTAACTTACTTTGATTTCTCTAAAGGTGTGATCAAGTAAATGTGCGCGAAACTAAATTGCATGAATAAAGTTCAATTGTAAAGACATGTAAAAACTGCATAAAAGACAAGTAAATGACTTCGAAGCATAAAAACAGTTAATGTAAAAGATTCTCTGGAATGTAAAAGATTCGAAATATGAAGAAAGTGTTTAAATGCAAGAAAACTATAAAATGACTTTAAGTGAAAAAGGTGTTCGAATGATAAAAACTTGAAGATAAAGGCATGCAATGTATAATAGTTTCTGAAATGTAAAGTATTTGCAATGGAAAGAAAGCATTTAAATGTAAGGCATCAGTAAAAAGACTTCGAATGAAAACATTTTAAATGCAAAAGCTTGTGAATGGTATTGACATGAAGATAAAGGAAAGTACTGGAAATGATAAAGAGTTTTCATTAAATCATAAACATGTGGTGTTATCATACGTACATTGCTCGTGCATTCGTTTCCCTAGCCATGTGGTAATTTGAATGTTTACTGAGTTTTTTTGTACAATAGATATGACACACGAAATCCTAATGCTAAGACTTCTATTTATACTACTTCGACCATAACGGTCTTGCTATAAGATTCTGCCACGTTCAAAACATGCAAAGCAATGCCTCTCTCCTTCTTCCACGCGTCTTCGAATGCTCCAGCGCATATATTTCAAATTTCGAACATCCCGCTTGCATTTGAATTTCAAATATTTTGGCACTGCTTCGCTTCGAACGCATTTCTTAGACACAACCTTGTTATCATTTCGAGACCTCTTTGAATATATTCTCATAACTGTCACTCGAAACCCCAAACTTTGATATGCCCATTCGAAGCACTGCTTCTATCATTTCGAAACATGACATTTTGCTTCATTTCAATCGAAACGTCCAATTCGCTTTGCTTCTAATAATATCATCAAAATCTTCAGCCAACAGGGGGGGGGGGTACCTGCAAGACACTTTGATGCCAAAGTAAGATTCGAAATGAGCTAGCAAGTAAGAGAGTGAGAAAATGTTCAATATCTGACCCTCTCGGAAGAGATGGTATTTATAGCCCCCAGCGATGGGCCAAGGTCCCCATTGTTGGGCCACGTTGAGGCCCAATAGTGGAAACTTCCAGGGCTTACGTGTGTATGGAGTCCAGCAAGTGGACTCCCCCCTGGTAAACTGCTCTGTGAAAATAGGGGTTAGACCCGTGATTTCCGGAGGGCAGTTAAGATGACTATGATGTGGGGACGTGGCCCACGTTCCCCAATGGATGTGCGGGAAGTTGCTCAACAATCCCTAACTTGGGCTACTTACTTTTGAGTCTTATACAAGGGTGTTGAATTAGGCCTCCCGACTGGGGGACAAGTGCAGGACCAGTCCATATCAGTTCCTTTTCTAATATGGGCCCGACTAGGTCCACTAAACTTTTAGTCTTCTTAACCTTAGGTAAATTTTTTCTACCCTCTACTGCTAGAACTGGACCCATCGCAGGAGCTTTGAAAAAGGTGTCAATGAAACAATTCACCTTTATTCCCAATGTATCAAACGACTGATTTTTGTGTAACGAATTTTTATCAGATTCTCCTTTAGACTCATGACATATTAAAATAATACATAAATTACACTATATATATTTATCAATATTCATTATTGCTGCACAATAAATTTATAACATGTTTGGAAGTGCAGTGAGATAATCAAAAACGCGTTCCATGACACTTTTGCCGTGAAAATACAAAAGATACAAAAATCCAGCTTCCACGTTTCAAAGACCACACAACTTTTTCATTGTTCCAAAGACTGTTAACTATACCTTGATCAACAATAGTAAGTTTCGTTTCTTGTAACAAGAAAATATTTGTCTTACCTTGTTTGATTATATGACCAATTCTTCTTGTTTTCAAAAGATTACCTCCCCCTAATGTTCATAGAGCCGATAATCATTTCAACCTATTGTTAATCACCTTCTTCAATGCCATCTTATCTTTATCCTTTTTCTCCATGTCGTCAATTTTCTGCCTATAATCTTTAACAGAGCCGATTGGGATAACCTCAAGATTTGATATGGCCTTCCATGTCTTCAAGCCTACATTTGATTCGATATTATCCCAAAACCGATAGTTGTATTAAACCATGTCTGAATCAGATATAGGATCGTTGCATAAAATAATTCCTGTAGAAAATCTGTCTTCATCAAATTCCACTGCCTTGTTAGAACTGGAAAATGTACCCCCATCTATTTTAGTATTTTTGTTAAGAGAAAATTCATAACTATCAGTTCCTTCAATGTGGTGATTTTCTGTTGGGTCGAAGTTGCTCAAGGCCCGTTTCTTCTTCCTTTATTTCTTTTCTAATATGAGCCCAATTAAGTCCACTCAACTTTTAGTCTTCTTAACCTTAAGTAAATTTTTTCTACCCTCTACTATTAGAACTGGACTCATCGCAGGAGCTTTGAAAAAAGTGTCAATGAAACAATTCACCTTTATTCTCAATGTATCAAACGATTGGCTTTTGTCCAACGGATTTCCATCGAATTTCTCCTTTAGACTCATGACATATTAAAATAATACATAAATTACAGCATATATATTTATCTATATTCATTATTGCTGCACAATAAATTTATAACATGTTTGAAAGTGCAGTGAGATAATCAAAAATGCATTCCATGACACTTTTTCCGTGAAAATACAAAAGCTACACAATCCAGCTTCCATGTTAATGTGATTTTTTGCCGTGATTTAGTTAAATATATCATAGTTCCAAACATAGCCTTAGTCGAATTTTGTTATTGGTTATCATATAACATTTATAAAAGTTATTAATAAAAGATAATATATATATATATATATATATATATATATATATATATATATATATATATATATATATATATATATATATATATATATATATATATATATATATATATATATATATGTCTTTTATTTAAAAGTTCAATTTTATAAATTAAAACAGTACTTCTAAATTCCTGTAAAAAAAAAAAACTGTACTTCTAAATTGTTTGGGAAGGCACCACCTATCAATATACTTTTTCATTTATAAACAAATGGATTGTATACGGTACGAGTCTTACTAAAATGACATGCCCAAACTAATTACAAGACCAATTACTAAGGATACAGTTAGAAGAATATTCAACAATATGAAACTATGATCTAATACTAGAAGACAAATTTATGTTCCATTATACTTCATTTGATTGAAACTTAAGTCTAGTATTAAGATTGGATGACAGTTGGTGAACCCATAGTTTTATAAAATTGCCAGCCGGCTGGCTTTGATATTATTTAAACAAGCCACTAACCGCTCCCATTCCACACTCCAACCACCCTCTAATTCCATCTCATTGCTCCTCACTATCCACCGATGCATACTCCTCCCTTACTCCATAACCGATGGGCACAATTGTAATACATTCAATTTCTGAAAATCTAAATACTATTTTCTTAAGATAAAATTTCACTTTTAAATTGATTAATTTTGTCATAGCAAAACCAATGAAACTTCAATTACTAGTACTCTCTAGTAAATTATTAATTGTTAGGCCCCTTTCCATGGAATGAGACTTAGGACCAACCGCACTTAATCAAACCATTACAACTTACGTGTTCTAGAACTAAACGTAGACCCACAAAAACGATACAAGTAACTTATTAAACAGGGTTTATTAGTCACTTTCTAGCCTATATCCAAATAATTTATACTATCCTTTTAAGATTTTAAATTTAGTGACCATTACACAATAATTTAAAATGAAAACAACGAAAGTAATACAAAAAGATAAATCCAACAAATAAAATAAATCATAATAACGTCATTAACAATCTTCATATTATGAAAGTTAATTAATTTAAATTAAATAAATAAACACATTCTATTTCTATGAACACAAACCTTTCTTCACCAGATTCACCTGTATTTCCAACTTTTTACGATAAATAAAAACAATAAATAGTAAATAAAAAAAACTATTTTCATTTTTACCAAACAAAACCTATCATTCTAACCCCGATTACCGGCAAACAAACGATCAGAAGACCGTTCTCCCACATCATCCAATTTCCCAGGTGACTTATTCTTCAACCAACTTGAACCGGTTCGACCCATAAACGGCGGAGTCCAAGAGAATCCCCTCCGGTCCGCCCGGTTAAACCACTCATAGTTCCTTTCAGGAGCACTACTCCCTACACTCCTCGTTCTAAAACCCCTCCTCCCACTTCCCTCTCTAGTAAAAGTAACACCACAACTCGCCACGTGGCTCGGTGTCGAACCAACCAACCGGTTCGTCACCTCCTCCGGTAACCTCAAAGTGAACCGCTCGTAATTCTCACCTTCCTGAACCAGAGAATGACCCGTGGATTGTGACCGCGGAAACCAATTTCCAATTTTAAAACCGGTTGAATTAGACCGAACCGGTAGGGTCCCATTCGGTGTAACTGAATAATTCACCTTAGGAGAAGGTGAACGAGATGAAATGTTAATTCCAGAATCATTATTATTTCGGGTCGGGTGATCTGAATCGGATATATCCGGATCCGGAATTGGAACCGAAACGAAAGAAGATTCTCCGGGTTTCGGAATCAAATTGGCGCGACAAACGGGGCAAGTGGAGTGATTAACAAGCCAAGCATCGATGCATTCAGGATGAAACACGTGGCTACAATTCGGAATCAAACGCAGCGTTTCATCGTCTTGGAATTCGTTTAAACACACGGCGCATTCTAGCAGGGTTCTTCCGATTTTGTGTCCTTTCACGGCGGAGTAAACAAAGGTAGGAAACGTTTCGATGATTTCGGAGTCGAGTCCACGGTGTCTCCGGTTGCTGCCAACGATCGGAACTGATAGATCGAATCTTCCTCTCATTCTTTGTTCGGCGCACTGGCGAGTATAGACGGAGAGGAAACCGAGGATGAAGAACACGACAACTAGGATGACTAGTACGATGGCCATGGACTTGTCAAATTTGAGGGCGGAGATGTTGCCGGGCGGTGGTGGTGGGAGGAATTTCGGAATCTGTGCGGTGGTTGGCGGTGGAAAGAGGGTGGTGGAAAGGAGGAGGAGGTAGGGGAGGGCATAATTGGAATTGAAATGAAATTTGAGAGGGAAAGTGTTCATGAGGGTTAGTTTAGGTAAGGTTTCATATGCTGCTATTGTAAGCAAAGAAAAATAATTAGAACTGTGTTTCTAATGCTAATCATGAGTATTAGTGATATATAGTACCCGCTAATTACTCCTTTGTACTCTTTTTGTGATTGTTTATGATTTGCTTCTCTTTTGTTTTGTTACTAAAGGGTGAGAGAAAAGAAGGAAATTGAGGCATTGACTTTTTTTATTGGTAAGGGAGTTGTTGTTCAACTATCTTGAATAGTTTGGCTCCATGTTTTTATTATTTTTCAAATCTTGAAGAAGCCTCTATGGATTTGCCTTTGGATAGAAGAGATTTGATTAATATTTTTTATTCTATTAAGAATATGTTTTGGTTCAATAGAATAGAGAAAGGGAAGATATTATAATGAAAGTGGGGAGAGAATGTTAGAGGATAACAAGAGAAGGGTGGATATTTAAATATAAGTAATCTAATACTACTATAGTATATACAATTAAACTAAATCATTAAATTTTAAAAGAATCTAATGGTTATGAATTGTGAATGTATACAATTTTATATGGTTGATGTATCATAGTTAGTGGTGGAAATATGTTAGATCGGTCTACAGGAACTTATAAACTAGTTTATTTAAGAGTAAATTATATCAAGTTTATTTAATAAAAAGGTTAAATTTAGATTCTTTAAAAATTTATTTAATTAAATATGTCAGATTTAAACTATTAAAAAAACTTATGAAATTTTATAATCCGATCTATATTTTTATATATATTAAAAATAAGTTAAATAGATTGATTTTTATATACATATATATTAAAAAATGTTAAATAAGCTGAAGGCTAAATAAGTTAAAAGATTAAAGAAAGGTTAAATAGTAACAAAATAGATTGACCTTTATATTTTCATAATTATAATATTATATTAAATAATTAATTTTTTTTCTGTCTTCTTTCCCATCTTCATCTTCATCTTTGTAACTATCTTATAAATTTTCCACCAAATTAAAAAAATAAATAAATCAAAACTCCAAAAGTCTACAAAAAGTTACTCAATCTTCGTCACTATTTTCATTAATCTTTAACCAAATATAAAAATATCATAAATATTTGAAATTTTAAAAACTTGCATACAAGAAAAAAAATCCTAAATCCAACGATAAAACCTAGAACAAAAAGAAAAAGAAAATTTCTCTAAAGTGAGAGTACTAAAACCTCAACCATTTATATCAAAGAATTTAGTAGATAAAATAAAGTAACCAGAAATCCCCAAATTAATTTTAAAAACTAAGTATTCGAAATGAGCATGACTATATAGTGGACGCACCTCGCTCATCAACCACATCGAGCAAGCAATGAATGATATGGTGAAGAGCAAAACAGAGAAGTGACAGAGACTCGTCTGAATAGAAGGAATGGAGGGAAAGACTTGTGAGAGAAGATATACTAGCCTTTAGTTCTAAAAGGAACAGACCCAATCCTGGAAAATAGAAGTCTAAATCAATTAACATAACTTTCACACACACAAACACATAGTATAGATAGAATAACCATTATTTATGGAAAAACATTTGATTGTTTATGTGATTGGGAATGGTTGGTTGAAGGTGAAAATTTATCAAGGAATTTTAATTTTCTGAAATTTTGGTAAATGAAGATGGTTGGAGATTAAAAAGATGGAATTTTAGTAATTTTTTGTTACTCTTACTTTAGAGAAGGATTAAGTTTGTTACCCTTACTTTTGAGCTTCAACTTAAATATTCTTAACATCCTTAAGGCTACTTATTTGGTGAGTTTGTTTTATTGAAGAAGAATTGAGAAAGGCAACGTGAGATTATGCTAGTTATAAAAATTTAGGGTATGATGGTGTTAACTTCGAGTTCATGAAGATTTTTGAGAAAATACTAAAGGCGATTTTATGAGATATTTACTTGAGTTCCGTAGAAATACTAAGCTTGTAAGAGGATTAAATTTTACATATATAACCTTGATACTGGAAAAAAAACTCAGTCTTCAGTGTCTTTCAGATTACCACCCTATTTCTCTAGTTGGGTGCACGTACAATGTTCTAGCAATGGTGTTGGAAAACTGATTAAAGCGTGTAATTGGTAAGTTTATCTCAGATATTCAATCCACTTTCATGAAGGGTCGATAAAATTTGGAGGAAACTTTTATTGCCAATGAAATGGTTGACAGTGCTAAAAAGACAAAGAAAAAACTTTTTATGTTGAAGGTTGAATTCAAAAAGACTTACGATTTTATTGAGTGGCATTACTTTGAAGAAGTCACGGTTAGGATGTGCTTTCCTAATAATTAGAGGAATGGGATTAAGGAGTGAATGAGTTCAACATCATTATCCGTTATGTTCAAGATTGTCTAACAGAAGAATTCAGATTGGGAAGAGAGTTATAACAAGGTCTCTTTCTCCAATCTCATTTCTTATAGCCGCTGATGATCTTAATTTCATGTTGAAAGCTCAAACAAAAATGGGTTTTTCTTTAAATATTAGGGTAGGTCAGTCAACCGGATTGTAGCGGTAGAAATCTTGAGACTAAGTCATTGGATTGACTTGACTTGCACATATCAAAATAAAAATTGTCATCGCGCTTTATTGTTTCCAGAGGAATGGGAAAAGACCGAATGAATCAAAATAAGGGGGGAGAAAATCTAGGTACGAGGGTTGGTTATGCAAAAGGAAGGTATTAGCACCCTAAACATCTATGGTACTCCGCAGGAACCTCTTTGAAAATTTGTGTATTTGGCTATAAATGTTGTATACAAAAATAGATGGTGGAGATGAGAAAAAAAGTATTTTTATATAATTTTGCACCCGCCGCGGTTGTGAACCTTTAGTGCCTACGTACCAACTTCTGTGCAATAGGAGATCAGGGTACTCGTAGTTCACCTTTAAAAAATTTCAAACACAAGTGTGTTGGTTAATTTTAAGAGAAGAGACATCATCGTCATATTCGAGTGAAAAACATACTTACTACCCACGATTATGAGAAAGGAGATTTTGCGTCATCTCAAAGTGGAGGATATAGCTTAGATTTTAAAAACAACAAAACCTCACTTGACACCCAAGTGGAAAACATCTCATTTCACTACATATCTTAGAAATATAGTAGCTCGCATCACTACAAGGATTGACAAGAGTCTAATCTTTTGAGAACATTTTAAAGTAAAAAGCCAAAGCGGTAAAAATGGTATGAATGAGGTTGATTGACTTTTAGTCTTCTCACAAAAATGTCAGAGTATGATTAAGTTTATTAAAGTTTGATTAAGAAAAGATTTTTGGAAATGCATGAACCTAAGTCCAAGTTTATTATAAAAGAGGTTCAAGTTAGAGAAACAGAAGAGTTTTGAAAAGGAGGGAGAATATTTTTTTGAAATTAAAGAAGATGGAAGGAGATGAAGGGACTATCCTAAAGCATAAGGTAAACGTTAAGGAAAAGAACGATCTAGCCAACAAGAAGCCAACACTTGACATAAAGAGTCAATGTAGAATTCTCATCCTTTGGATTGAAACCAATCAAGCAAAGATACTTAACCTCTTAAGAATACCAAGCTTCAGTTGCATTAAGTCTTCACAATAATTGGGCAGAGTAACACATGTATACAGTGGAATTCTCAATCACAAACAAAGCATATAATCAGAATAACCTGCACACAAAGAAAATTATCACAATATCTTGGGGTAAACCCCCAAAAACTCCAGAAAAAATAACAACAGAGTTACAAGATCCCAAGGGTAATCAAGGTTTCTAAACCTAAGTTCGAGAGGTCCTCAACTCCATAATGACAAGGATAGTAACCAAATAGTCCAAATAACATTAAGGTTTTTTATTATTCAATTTGGTTATTAAGTGTCTTCAAAAAGAAAAGAAAAGCTCAAGTGATCAAAGATGAAAATGTTAAGGTAAATTGTGCATAAAAGTAAAGGCATAAAATAAAGGGCATAAAGTAAAAGCACAAAATAAAAGTCAATTGTTATTGAATTAGAAGTTAGAGGTTAGTTGAATGACCATCTAGAAACTTGCATTTGAAAACTTATTAGAAGATTGATAATATCAAATCTTCTCAACAACAAGTTTCATTTACTTTTTGTCAAGTATATCATTCATCTCAAATGCTCAAGACGACCTCATATGATCAACGATGTTCAAATGATTCACTTAGACCAAAGTTTATGAAGGTTCATTAAAGGATTGATAAGATCAAAGCCTCCTAACAATGAACCTTAAGGTTATCGGATCAGAGGTTTCAAATTAAACATACTTGGGCTTGCAAATATAGGTTTGGGCCACAAATAATCATTTTTCAAATTCGGACAAACTTAGTGCTATGTTAAGCAATTGTAAGTAGACTTATCTAGAAGTCACGCCTATTCTGAGACCGGTCAATAGTAATCTATGTACCACATGTTAGAGAAGTGATATGTAGATCGGTCTCCAACAACATGTAGCACAAGTAAAAAGGGGATAAGAGGAAGGGGGAGGGGATGTATAAGATGAAATTAGAGTTTCAAATATCATTAACACCATTCATCCATTTTGGTAGATTTGGTTCTTAACCTATCAACATCCAAGATTCAATGAGGTTGATGAATTTGTTCCAAATAACACCCAAGTCAATAGCACATGCCATGCCAAAAGTTAGCCAAAAACTATGCACACAAGTTCTTAAACAGAAACTCTTTGATTAAGGCAAAACCCTAAGCATACTCTTAAGTAAAAATTAGGTTAAAATAGGAAAATAACTTGTAAATTTATGTCAATTTAATTCTAATTCCCTAAAGACTTCTAAAAGTCATAAGCATAACCAAAAGTTCCTAAAAAGAGGAGGAACTATGATTTTGAGACTCAAACATCAAGGCAAAATACTAAAACTAGGCATGTTTTACAAAATATTTTGAAGAAAATGGAAGATCATACTTCAAAAATATGAAGAAAAAAATGTTTAAATGATCTTGACTCATCCAGAAACTTCGAACATATTTTATTTTATTTTTA